ATAGGGTTAGTGTTACACATAAGTCTGATAAAGAGTATAATGATGATTGTGTTGTTCCAAAATTTAAGAAACTCTCAACAGTTATAGTTTGGGAAGTGATATGTGGAACCCAAAAGTCACCTCAAATTGTCTGAAAAACAGCTATCTGGAGCAAAATTTCCTTACAAACCTATGTTGAATATATCTGTAACGATCACTCCTTGGATAGTTAGTTCTTGGCGACAGGGAACGATACTTCTCTTCTCTTTCTTCTTCTTCCTTCGTCTTATGATAGCGCTAGGCCTCTGCCTATGTTACCAATAGTACAAGACCTGTGTCTTCTATCGGAAAGGCCTATCGTAAGTTTTCTCCAACTCTTCTTCGTGAAGAGCTCTCCTTGGCATAACAGTAACGTTTCAATAAAGATAAAGATCGTAAAGTTGTTTTATATTCCTTAAAGTAATAGGTAGGAAAAGTACTTAGAAATCAATCTAATTTTATTTAAACTCGTACCGCCAACACTGGCATACGACAAGCCCCAGCCGACACAGGGATACCGCTAACCGGTATACCACTAATCCTAAGCTAACTAAGTCTACGGTCCCGCACCTGCCATCCCCGAGTCATGCCCGCACGAGAACTAATTACTAGACCATCAAACAACCCAGCGCCTGCTCCGGTCCAAATCCGTAGCCCCTCAAGTATGAAGCCAACCAGCACCAAGCGTAGCCGAAGCCGAGCAAGAGACCTACTCAACCAGATTCCTCATCCAACAAAACATAAAAACACTACTGCCCGGTCTAAACACTGTCCCGCAAAACCTCCACCACAGTAGAAAACTAACAAAACCCCCCCCAAACAAATATAAACTACAGGCGACGCAATGGCAGAGAGGAGGTAACCAACATGTCCACCTCGAGCATCCGCATGCCCGGCCGTCAACCCTATAAACCCACTTTGCCAAGTACCTCTAAAGAGCGTAATGGTGAGGAGGACCTGTACCTGCTGCCTGTCCCCCAAAACAAACACATAAACAAAAGAAAGACATAGAGATGGTGACAGACCTAAATGGCCAGTGGGGCCTATCTCCCATCCATAGTGCCTTGCCCCCGCCAGCCATGCCCATTGCCAAACCAAAGAAACCAAACAAACCCCACAAAGCCCAGCATGCAAGACCCAAACAAGTCCAACCAGGTGGTCGCAACCTATTATCCGCACAGGTGGCCATCAACCATCCGGGTCATCGAGGAGCTTTCCAGCACTCAGCAGCTTCACCCAACAGCCCCATCAGGCCGGAAACACTTAATTAGACATTGCCCAACCTGACGCATGCCCGACCGGTGCTCGCAGGTACCTCTCCCCCCCTAATTAGCCGCCCCCAAGCCCTACACACCAGGTGCCACAGAGCCCATCCAGCCCCCTCAGCCCCTCAGACAGATCAACCATCTGAGAGCCACAGGATAGCTATACCTAACCTCATCAGGCAGCCACCGGTCTTGGCCATGCCAACAGAGCTACAACCCTCGACTCCATATAGCCGAGAGAAGCCCACTAGCCAAAGCCGGGAGCCACAAAGGAGGTAGCACCAATACCGGAAGGCACCAGCACCAGCCACACCATCCAACCCAGCCAAACCGAAGTCCGACCGAGTCAGGAAAAGGTAAGCAGAGCCAGCCAAAGCCAGCCCCACAGGCCTAGCAACAGGCCGGACCGAACAATGGGCAAGAGGTATCCCCAACTGACGTGACAAGAAGGGTGAGGGTGAGCGAACAGAAGCAGACAAACAGAAGGTAGGCCCCACTGGCAATGGGTGAAGCCGCCAACCACAGACCATAACCGAACCACCCAAATGCACAGACAATGTGAGTGCCTGGCAGCTAATTGTCCCACACCACCCCAGGCAGCAACAATAACCACACCAGGGGGTAAGATTTTTCAGGGTCAGAGCCATCCCCACTGTAGTGAGGAGGAGATACCTGGCTGAACCACCGTAAATGCCGCAAGGACAATACTTCCAAGGGAACGGTGATAAACAACATCATAGGATTCTGACTGTAGAAACATGTAGTAACAAGGAGGGGGGGGGCCAGCGAGGCCCCCTCCCCAGTAGATTGATGTAGCTGGTATGACATGTTGATACTTGGGAAGGTCATCAGTCTAACCCAAGAGTGTTTTGTATCGCGAGAACTAAGGACTCCGTTAAAACCCAACAAAAGACATGAGCTGGCTCGAAGAACGACACGAGTGATCCCCCCAAACACAATGTTCAATCCCCCCAATCGAATGCGAAACCTGCGAGTAGACGATATACATGAAGCCGTAGACATTTTACTGAAAGGGGCTCATATGCGACCGGGATGAATAGCTTGAAGTGACAGCATCGTGAGAAACCATCAAGCGACGAAACGAGAAGCAAACATGTAGTCCACCACACAATGCCAACAGACCTCAACACCAAAGACCCCAGGAACTACTAAGCGAACTCAGATATCTCCCCCAGAATCCAAGGAATCAAGGTCCACCATGGGTGCAAAAGAAACGCTTGAGGCGAAGCGACAACAAGGACCAGGAAAAGTACTTAGAACCAAGCGTGAAGAACCTATCTTCCTCGGCCACATCGGCCTCCTTATATAGTATTCTTCCCACCCATAGTCATGTGACCTAAAGTGGTCACATGTGTGAAACCAAATCATAACAAACTAGTCATGTAACCAAAGTGATCACATGCTCAAACCCCATGACCTCATAGCGAGGTCATGTATAAAAACTCATAAACCAATCATAATGCAATAAACAAAACATATGACTCGACTGAGTTATGTGCTCGAAACCCATGACCTCATAACGAGGTCATATGCAAAACATAAATCATATGTGCAAGGCTTACCTGCAAGGGACCCTCGCAAGGCATACTCGCCAGGTGCACGTCCCATAACTCATATTTGAGCCATGTGCAAAAGCATCACAAATCCCACACATAACAAATCATATGACCCGAATGAGTCATATGTGTAAAACAATAACATACCTGTGACTCATAACTATGTGTCATGTGAAAACTTTTTTTATGCCAAGCCACATTCGTGACAGTATCCTTCATCCTATTCTCTTTTCATAGTAGTTACAACTCTGTCAACAAAGAAGTTACTCAGATTATATTTACTTTTAACAAGATAGAGCTTCTGCATACACAGCTATCAATACAACCAAGGAGGTTAATGAACTAAGAATTGGGCTGTCATGAAGATGGCTTGGCATGGAAAAGGTTTTCACATAACTCATGATTATGAGTTGTATGTATGTTATTTTTTTGTACATATGACTCATTTGGGTCATACGATTTGTTATGTTATGATTTGTGATATTTTACACATGACTCGAGTATGAGTCATGGGATGTGCATCTGATGAGTGTGCCTTGCAAGTGTGCCTTGCAGGTATGCCTTGGGCATAGGATTGGTATTTGGCACATGACCTCATTATGAGGTCATGGGTTCCCCACATGTGACTACTTGAAGTCATATGACTTGTTTATTGTGTTATGATTGGTTTATGAGTTTTCACATATGACCTTGCTACAAGGTCATGGGTTTTGAACATGTGACCACTTTAGTCATATGATTAGTTTATTATGATTTGGTTTTGCGCATGTGACCACTTTAGATCACATGACTACTGGCAGGAAGAACACTATATAAAAAGGCTGGTATGGCCAAGAAGGATAGGTTCTTCACACTTTGTTCTAAATACTTTTCCTACTTATTACTTTAATGAATATAGAAGCATCTTTATGTTCTTTATCTTTATCACTACTATTACGCCAAGATAGCTCTTCACGAAGGAGAGTTAGAGAAAGCTTATGATAGGCGTTTCCGGTAGAAGACATTGGTCTTCTACGTTCGGTAATGTAGGCAGATGGGCTAGTGCTTTCGTAAGACTAAGAGAAGAAGAAAATGAAGAAAAGTATTATTCCCCATTACCAAGAACTTACTTTCTGAAGAGGAATCATTACACGGGCCATATCTATTCCCGTAGCCAGCAAGCTTTCCTGATATGTCACCAATCGAAGAGATTTAGAAATTGATAAAACGCAATATCACGAAACAAAACCTCTGACCTACTACTGTTCCTGAGTTGCACCAAGCTATTCTTAGTGAATGGGACCTTCTCACTCCTGACACTATTGCCAGCTATACATCCTCTGTTCCAGCCCGTATTAACGACCTTCTTTCTGTGAGTGGTAGCCATATGAATTGATAATTACTGTATTCTACCTCATAGTGAACTCCCCGCATGGTAAGTCATCTGCAGATTTGAGTGAAGCATTTTGCTAATATTTAGTATTTAGGTAGATGGCTCATGGTATTGGTACTAGTAACTATAGTGTGGAATTTGTTATACTTATGTGTAATCGCTGGAGGTTGTAGTTTTTTTTCTGTTTTTTTCTTCTTACTCTCTATATCCATGATGGCAAACTTGGATTGATATGAGTATTGGAGATTGGGCTATCAATTTGCTACCTTTACTGTCTCTTTCTTATCATAATGAGTATTGTAACGTCAGAATTCATATTGGTCAAAATGCAACAACTCCAGGATTTCAACTTCATTGACTCCCCTATCTGTTCCAACTTGTGATTGACAAGATTCCCCAGGTTCCTTGTTATCATTCCTGCTTTGCTCGATTTTTACTTCCATGTCCGAGTACTGTGCATTGGGATCCCTAGTCAACTCTCCTTCCTCTATTCCTCGGTTTATCGGTCGCAAAGCAACTATTCCCATAAGGTGCAGCTCGGTCGAAACACCTTCCAGCTAAGGGAAAGCGCATCAAACCTCCCACGCCGTTATCTTCCCGTGAGCCATGATGCTATCACGCCGAATAATGCGAATTTCGTCACAAGCTCTCAACCGTGCCAAGCCTTTCTAAATCTATCGACCACGTGACACCCCACCATGATGACATAATTGCCGCAGTTCGAACACCTTCGTTTCCCCTAGAGTACAACAACCACCTGGCGACAATATGAACGACTTTTCTGACATCCCACCTCTCCCTTTGGCAGACTGGGACGTATTAATTTCTGGGACCGGAGTCAAACAGTCTCTCCTTGCAGTGTAGTTATTATCCCGAACTCTCTCCCCACCATCCATATACATTTCATACACAGTACTAACACAACCCAGAGCACTTTGCCGCGCTGGGAAAACCGTCCTACAACTCGACAAGAATTCTCACTATGGCGGTAGCGCTGCAGCCTTCTACTCGCTCTCCGAGGCGGATGCGTGGGCAGCGAGAGTAAATAGTGGAGACGAGGTCGGCATAACAAATGCTGTTGTCGTTTCAAATGTTGGAGAGGGGGTTGGTGGTGGTAACGGGAGGGGGTATACACTTTCTTTAGCGCCGCATTTGATTTACTGGCACAGCAGCGTTTTGGAAATGCTACGGAGGGCGGACTTAACAGACGGGTTTTCCTGGTATGCGGTTGGGAGTTGGTGGGTGTGCTTGACAGATGAGGAAGTTGCGGTTCCGGCGGTGGCGACTGGGACAGGCGGTGTGGTTGGGCTCGCGGAGATTGGGGTCAAGGCCGCGAAGCTCGCGTCTATGACCGGGAAGAAGAGGGCTGGGTGGAACAAGGGGCGGAAGAAGAAGCCAGCTGCTAAGACCGCTCTGGAGGGAGGAGAGGCAGCGGTGGGAGGAATGACGGCTCAAGGGAACGGCGAATCTCCTCTGCGGAAGGTCGATAATTTTCGGGAGGTCCCTTGCACGTACGAGGACGTAGCTTGGAGCAAAGACCTAACGGACAAAGACCGGGGACAACTCGGCGAATTTCTGCGCTTTGTGGTGAAATATAATGATCCTACCGACCAAAAGTTTACCCAGATTTTCGAAGGTATTCCCCCATACCCACCACATATACCCCCAGCAAAATCTAACCACACTGCCGCCAGAAAATCGCCAAACATCGCTCCAGACCTTCCTCTCCACAACCTTTCCAATACCCCCATTTATCACAACCTCCATCTCCTCACTAACCCTCTTCCCATCCGCACCCTCTGACATCACCCTCGAGCAAGCCCTCCCCCGCCTCGCGGCACACTTCACATCCCTAGGCAAAATCCCAGACGTGCGCTCATCCGCGGCACTCACAATCGCATACGGCGGTTCCGCCGAGCTCTGCCAGGTTCTATCCCGTGCGGCCGCCATAGCCGGAGGAATCAATGTTCTCGGCCGAGGCGTCAAGTCGCTGTGCTCCAATGAAACGGGCGATGGAAATCGGAAATTAGAAGCGCATCTAGAAAGCGGCGAGACTGTATATGCTGACTGGGTCATTGGTGAAGCTAGTGATCTGGCAAAGGAGGTTAAAACATCGGGTGGAAAATCGGTATCTAGGGGGATTTATGTCATCGAAACTGAGATAAGCTGGCTGTTCGAGCAGAAGTACAAAGACGAGAATATTACCCCCGCCGCGGCGGTTGCAGTTGTCCCTGGGGATGATGAGAGGGCTCCTGTTTATGTCATTGCGAGATCCGGTGTGACGGGAGAGTGTCCCAGGGGTCAATGTGAGATTGCGAATTTAAAATATATAGGGATGTTACTGATAAAGACAGGTTTATTCCACGCGGTCACCGAATCATCGTACGAAGACATGAACGCTGCTATCGATAAAATCCTACAAACGTGCTCGCCCCTGTCGGGGGTGCTATACTCACTCCAGTACACCGTTGCTGCCCCCAGCCCGGAGATAGGCGCCGAAGATGGCGCTGTGATATTAGATCCATTAACTCAGGATATAGCCCTTCAGGGAAGTGTGCTGGAAGAGTGCTTGAAGATCTACGAGGAGATTATGGGAACTCGGGAAGGGTTTATGGATGTTTCGGAGGAAGTTCGGAGGATGAAGGAGGATATGGAGGAATAAGATACTCTGTTTCTTTTATCCGTGAGGTATTTGCGGTGGGTTGGGTTTATTGTAGAAAGGGGTTTGAGAATAACTCTTTTTTTTGGTGTATTATAATTGGGAGAGACAGGTGCTGCCCGAGTAGAGCCCCGAGCACATCTTTGTCGACAGAATCATAGGGAGATCCTAGGGGTGGCTCGTCTTGATCAGCGGAGAGGAGAATGCATTGGGCTAGACTCAATTGGATTCCTGAGCCAATTCCCCCCCAAATTGCCCAATCAGCAAATAACACATTCACAACTAATCACTCGACCCTCTACACAACAATTTTGTTGAAACAGTGAGAACGGAATGATGGTTTTTGGAACTGGTTGAGTGACGAGAAGAATAATGAATTGCTTAATTGACTTCTCAGTAGAGAGCAAACTACCCAGACTATCTACTGTTGAGGGCGAGATACAAGTTGCGAGTAAATCAACAGTAGGAAGTAAACAGAAACAGAGAGAAGAAAAGAAAGGCAAGGAGGTATGTTCAATAGTACCAATATTGTAAGGGGGTTTTGAGATGGCGATCAAGACTAATGCAAGGAGAAAATCAATAGTGCGAGTGATACTACGGTAGTGCCAGAAGCATATTTCAACAAATTTCCTTAGCCTAATCCAACACACCTGCCCAAAAGCAAGGAGCACCCAATCAACGAACCAGCCCCATTATAAACCACCACTCCCCTTCCTCCTCCCTTATTGCGGCACCTCCCTCCCTCTCCCCCTCCTCGGGGAGCTCATAAGCGCTTCAATATAACCCCCGTACTTCGTCCCCCCCCACTTCTTCTGCCTCTCCCCCTTGGGCGGCGACCCCACCGCAACATCATGCTTAAGTTTATACTCCTCAAACATAGCGTTGAACTCAGCCTCCGTTAACTCCTTCGACTCCACCTCCCTCCCCTTCGCCCCAGGCAGCGGCAGAGATTGGGAACTCGATTTAATACCCCGCCCGCGAAGCCGGCTGGGTCTGCGGTTCGCACGAAGATCTTGTACGAAGCGTTGGAGTTTTACGGGATCTGTGTAGGGTGATCCGTTGTTGACGGGGAGGGTTACGCCCGGGGTTGCGGAGCTCGAGGGTGGTGGTGGTGGTGATGATGCGGGGTGTGTAGGGGGTGTAGGGGGTTTTTCCAACCTCCATTTCCGGGGGGTGGAGAGTTTCTTGATGACGAAGTGGGTGAGGGGGTTTGGTTTGTAGGTTTCCGTGAGGTCCTGCAGTGGTGGGGGCTGTGGTGATGGTGATGGTGATGGCGGTGGGGGTGGGGGTCCCGTGGGGTGAGATCCTAGGATTGGGGGGGCGGTGGTGGTGGTGGTAGTGGCTAGTACTAAAGCGCTGAAGAGAAGGAGGGTGGGGATGGGGGTGTGCATTTTTGGTTTTCCCTTTTCCGTTCGAGAGTGGCAGGGGGCAGCGGGGAGGGAGAGCGGGAGCGGGGGAGAGAGGGGTTCTTATTTTATTTTCGTGAATACTTATGAGAGTTGTGTGATTTCGCTAATTAATACCTGATTTTCAAGCGATTACATTGTAGCTATGATAATAATATGATGATGGCAAGGGCCTGAAGTGTGTCTATGCCGCTACCCCTTCTGGAACCCAAACCTTTATCCCCTTATCGAACCCGCCAGTGACCAGAACCTCCTGCCCGCCGACGACCCCAGTCCAGAGCGATCTAACTTTCTCGCTGCCTTCCGACGCCCTTAATCTCGCCATCACCTTCCCAGTCTTCCGCTCGATCCCCCTCACTACTCCGTCGTCGCCATTGACCCACACTCCGTCCCCACCCGCTCGCCAGCCGAACACGGCCGTGCTGTACACGCTTTGCGGCGCACCGGTAAATACCTCCATGATCACTTCCTCGCTGTCGACTCGTACGAGTAGAAACTTCATGTGAGGTACCGACGACGTAACTATCCCCAAGAGGGAGCTGTCATTGGGATGCGGGAGGATGAACATTGCATGGAAGGTTACCCATGATGTTGTTGTGGGAGATAGGTTTCTCTTCGAATGCACCGGAAGCGAAGGAGCTAGGAGATGGTAGATTAGAAAGGTACTATCCCGAAGGGAGTAGACGAGGGCTTCTTCGCCGGTTGGGAGGGCAACGAAAGATATTCCCTCTGGATGAGCTGCAAATCGGAGTCTGTGGAGTTCCAATAGCTTTGGTGTCCCATCGTCCCCACAGGTTAGAGAATGCAGCACAATGGTATTGTCGTATCCGCTGGTCGCAGCGTAAGGGAGCTTTTCGTGAACAAGGATCTTCACAGCGTATTTGGCGTGTGGCTTATCACTGGAGATGACATCTCCACTTGCGGCGTCGGATATCACCACATGCCCGCTCATTGAAGTAGAGATGAGCCATTTAGAGTGTATAGCAGTACAGCAGAGGATTGCCGATGAGTGTAGATGAGTGTAGGATCTTAGTAAGCAGTGGGGTACTGTCGCTGAGTAGATTCGGAGGGCCCGGTCCGCCGTGGTAACAATTAAGGTGGGCCCGCCGAGGGCTCTGATATCCACTACTACTATGAAGAGGACATTCGAAGCTAGTATGCCTGGATCTGATACTACGTGGGGAATAGAGGGGTCTTCTATTTGTTAGCTGCCTTGTGAGTGATGAAGAAGGGTTGGACTAAGGTTACAGGGAATGGAGAATTCTGGCTCGTCATTGTCGGCGATTACCACGTTCTCTAGGCTGAGCGACAAGTCAAATTGGCGCTTCTCATCAAGCACTTTCTCTATGGTTAGACCACCGGCTGGACCGGGATCTAATGAATTCTCGTCCAGGTTAGATTCTTCCAGGAAGACCTTGAGGGACTAGGAACGAGGATTAGTATTGTTTTGTTGAAGTCGGGAAGAAGTGCTGCGAACCTTTTCATAGCCGTTCGATTGCAAGAAGCGGGCTACAAGAAGTGCGGAAGAGTCTAGTGCGGGCATGGCGGGGAAAATGAGTTTTCAGGGTAAATTATGGTTACTTGGCACAATTGTCTATGCTCGAATATGATATGCAGGATTATGACGCCATGACAGGGCCTGAGCCCCAATTGTGAGACTCGGTACACTCATACCTTACACATCTGCTCATCCCTTCTATTCTTAAGCTTTCGTGGTATAATACCGGTATTCTAATGGTCCACTGGTATCTTGTGTTAAACTCTGCAGAGTGCGCAGATGGCTGTATGATAAGATGACTTATCGGACCTCCATGACCGAAGCTTGGAGTTGGGGTCTGTCGCTCAGTTTTGTCTTGTCTTCCCCCGCACTGCCAAGGAATTGAGGCTCAACTGGACCCTAAACCCTGGCAAACCCTAATTGCTTAGCTCTCCCAACAATGCCAGTGGCCTCAGGCTATGGTAAAGCAACAACCATTACCGTACCCGCAACCTGCAAACACCTTCCAGCGACCTGCCTTATATACCGCTAAACACCTCCCCGACACCTTTCCCTTTTGACGTGTTCACAATACGTATCATAATAATAAGATCATACCTTGGCTCGAACATATCCCCCTTTGGCTTTGGCTTTGGTATGATAGGACAAGAACACCACTTCCTCCTACACCGATAACTCCAACCGCAACATACATTCCTAAGGGCAGACCATATGGCGACAGGGTTCGCTCCCCCTCCACAGACCTTCGCTCAGGACGATGTCCAACTGAGTTATAACGGTTATCAAGATGACCTTATGGACTATGAGGATGCTTCCGCCGGTTTGCTAGTAGCGCAACAACAGGCACAAGCACAAAATGACGCAGACGAAGCCATGGAGGTGGACGAACCGATCTCTACAATCGACAATTTAACACCCGAGAAAGTGCATCTAAGAGGCGTGGACAACATGAAGACTAGCGAGGTTAAGGCATTTGCGAGCGAACATTTTCAGCCAGCGCCGACCAGAGTGCAATGGATTGACGATACCTCTTGTAAGTAGTTCTGAGCTTCGTTATCTGGGCTGAACTGATGAGAGGTGACCACAGGTAACCTCATTTACGAATCGCCCGACATTGCGCTTGCGTCTCTAAGCTCCCTTGCAGCTGAACTTGCGGAGCTCCCTATTCTCCAGTTAAGGCTTGCTAAGGCAGCATCCTCACATCCGGATTCCAGGTTGCACGTTCGGATCGCAAAGGTGGATGATAAGAAGGAACCTGGTGCTCGAGATAGAAGCAGATTTTATCTATTCCATCCTGAGGAGGATCGTGTAGAACAGATGGAGCGAAAGTATGTTTTCCGAATCAGCCAGTCTATTCTATCTACTGAGCTTTACCCTGACCATCTGTTGTTTAGGAAACGCGAAGGCACCCGCCGTAGAGAAGACAGAGAATATGATAGACGGTATTTCGATTCTCGCGAACACGATCGCCGCCGTAACCACGACGTTGAACAATTCAGTACAGACTTTTACGATGATGACACGGCAACTCGGGAAAGTTGTAACAACGCCAGGCAATCCCGTAGCTATGACCGGTCAAGGTCTATCTCTCCCCGCCGGAACAAGAACATAGAACTGTTTCCTGAAAGAAAGCGAGAACCAATGGAGGTCGGCCCACGGGTTAGATGGACCAAGGAGCTATTCCCGGAGCGCGTTGGATCTCTGTTGAGCAGAGACAGGGGCCGCGATCTACTGGGTGCGGAGCATGAGGGTTCTGGCTCTAGAGAGCTATTTCCAAACAAGCTCGGTAACCAACGTTTCAAATCAGATAGGTCTCTATCTCCGCAGAAGGGCATTTCACTCAGTCCCCCGTCCCCCCCGGGGAAGGGTGGTTCGGCAGATGGAGAGCTGGAGCTATTTCCCAAGAAATTGGAGGATAGGATTTCCATGCCTGGAAGAAGCCTGGAGGATAGAATCAACCTTGATGGAACAAGTAATGGAGAAGAGGGCCTTAAAATTAGAGGGAGAGGTGTGAAGAGGGACAATTTATTCGCGGAGAAGCTAAGGACTTCTAAAGGCGAAGAATTGGTATTTGAGGATATTGGTGGTGGTAAGAGGAGTAAAGGGAGAAGAAGGGACAAGGCGGAGGATATGTTCAATTGAACGAGATGACACCCGCAATTTTGCCATCCAATATTTCTTACTCTAGCCTTTCTTTTCTTTTGTCACAAAAGTACGTTTCCCTATTACTTGGTGTTGTGAGTCTGCTTACTCTCTACTTTTTGTTTTAGCCGGAAATATGTAAGCGTGTAATGGAGAGATACTATCAATGAGACTGGGTATTCTGTGGTTCCTCTGAGTTTGGGGGTTTCAAAAAATGTAATAGAAAGTCGTACCCCCTCTTTTTTTGGACCATTGCTTGGGGATAATTTCATCGCCTGGGGTTTGAATTCTTATAATACTGGCCTCAGCGTTTGCACAAGTAGTCTACTTTACAGCTCATCTTTCTCTTCAACCTGTATCTTGGCTGCAACGAAACTTTCACGAGAGCTCTGTGTCATAGGAATAAAATACTGATTCTGTCGCTGAATTCCGAGTAAATTGCGGCTATTATACCTTTTTCTAAATCTCAGACCACCGATAAGGTAGAAGTTCGCTATCAGAGGTGCTGTGACTTGGTGATCCTATTTTGACTCACCGTGCCATGACTCGAACTCCCTCAAACCAATGCCCCGTTACCATGCACTAAGTTATAACCGCTGTAGACTGCCCCACCTACTCTCTATCCCTCAGCCCCCGCAAATAACCATCCTCATCTCTTCTTACCATAACTCTCTCACACATCCCAGCGATTAATTTAGCTCCTACTTGAAATCGACATCCTCGCAGTCCACCGCCAAAAAAAACATAAACCATGGCGACAAGTTCAGCCTCATCAAATCGTTTGTTCCCCGGGCCTGCGTAGTTTGAGATAGCTAATTCTTCTTTTTCCGCAAAGCGATCGGCCACGAAACAGGCCCTATCACAGACTCCGTCTCCAGCCCTTCGACAGAGAAAAAGGCTGCTGTTCAAGATGCCGTGAATGCTGATGCTAAAGCTGCGGGTTCACCAAAGCCAAAGACTGAAAAAGAGCGTATGAACACCCCCTTACTCCCTTATAGTTGCCCATTGAAGGCAGGAGGGAAAGGGCAGGGGCTAATTGTGCGCGTTCGGAATAGTTGAAAAGGAACGCAAGAAGGCCGAAAAGGAAGCTAGGTTTTCTGCGAAAAAGGCGAAGGCTGACGAGGCTAAAAAGAACGCTCCCCCAAAAGCCGAGAAAAAAGGGAAGAAGGTAGAGACTGCTGTTGTCGCGCCATATGTGGAGGAGACTCCTCCGGGACAGAAGAAGAGTTGGTTCTAGTTTGCTCTTATTTTTTTTCACGAGGGAAATTGAGGGGCTGACACGGGCGACAGTTCTGAAATCTCTTGATGATCCAGCCTACAAGTCTTACAATCCCGAGGTCGTTGAATCGGCGTGGTACGACTGGTGGGAGAAGGAGGGATTCTTCAGTCCAGAGTTCACACCCGAAGGTGGAATTAAGCCTGAAGGGATGTTCATGGTTCCAGCCCCTCCGCCGAATGTTACAGGTGCGTTACATATCGGGCATGGCTTGACTATCGCTATTCAGGATACCATGATCAGATGGTTTGTCGGCTCAATTCGGTGAGATGGGCCATTGCGCTGATGATTTCGCAGGAATCGCATGTTGGGGAAGACGGTCCTCTTCCTGCCCGGATTCGATCATGCAGGTATCAGCACACAGAGTGTGGTAGAGAAAATGCTCTGGAACAAGGAGAAAAAGACCCGACACGATCTTGGGCGGGAGGCATTCACAAAACTAGTGTGGGAATGGAAAGAGGAGTACCATACCAGGATCAAGAACCAGCTCAAGAAGATGGGAGCGTCTTACGATTGGACCAGAGAAGCCTTCACCATGGACGAGAACTTGTCAAAGGCCGTTGCGGAAACCTTTGTTCGTCTACATGAGGAGGGGATCATCTACAGGGCCAATCGTCTTGTGAACTGGTGTTGTAAACTCAATACTACTCTATCAAACTTGGAGGTAGACAATATCGAGCTCAAGGGTCGGACAATGCTTTCTGTTCCGGGTTATGACGAGAAGGTCGAGTTTGGTATGATTGTATCCTTTGCCTACCCCATCGAAGGTAGCAATGAGAGGATTGTCGTGGCAACTACTCGTCCCGAGACAATGTTGGGAGATAGCGCCATTGCCGTCCATCCGGATGATGAGCGTTACAAGCACCTCCATGGCAGGTGTGCCAAGCACCCTTTCATCGATCGCCTACTCCCTATTATCACCGATACATATGTTGAGAAGGACTTTGGTACTGGCGCTGTCAAAATCACCCCTGCGCATGACCCTAACGATTACGCGATTGGAGAACGACATAAATTAGATTTTATCAACATTTTGAACGATGATGGCAGTTTCAATGAGAACGCCGGTGAGAGTTTTAAGGGAATGAAGAGGTTTACCGCTAGGAAAGTTGTCGTTGAGGAGCTGAAGAAGTTGGGACTCTATGTGGAGACGAAGGACAATCCTATGAGTGTTCCGCTATGCAATAAATCGAAGGACATCATTGAACCCAAGATGAAGCCACAGTGGTGGGTACGACAGAAGGCCCTTGCTGATACCGCTATGGAAGCTGTGCGCAATGGGGAGATCAAAATTAGACCTGCTACATCCGAGAAGGAATTCTTCATCTGGCTTGAGAGAATTCAGGATTGGTGTATTTCTAGGCAGCTTTGGTGGGGGCATCAGGCCCCAGCTTGGTCTATTCACTTTGAGGGTGAAAATATCGCTGATTTTGATTATACCAACAATGACAACTGGGTGGTGGCTCGTACTGAGGAGGAAGCCCAGGAGAAGGCTGCGAAGCTGTACCCCAGCAAGAGGTTCACTTTGGACAGAGATCCTGATGTCTTGGATACCTGGTTTTCTTCTGGTCTTTGGCCGTTTTCTATCTTGGGCTGGCCCGAGAAGGTATCCCTCGTTTCTGATTTTGTACCCGCTGTTTCTAATCGCTTGTAGACACCCGACATGTCAAAATTTTACCCCAACTCCCTCCTGGAGACTGGATGGGATATCCTGTTCTTCTGGGTTGCCCGTATGGCTATGCTTGGTATAAAAATGACAGGAAAAGTCCCTTTCAACGAGGTTTTCTGCCACTCGCTTGTTAGAGATTCAGATGGCCGTAAAATGTCCAAGTCTCTCGGGAATGTTATCGACCCGTTGGACATCATTAATGGCATCTCGTTAGATAAACTACATGCAAAATTACTACTCGGAAACCTAGATCCAAAGGAGGTAGCGCAAGCAACCAACTACCAAAAGACGGCTTTTCCAGATGGCATTCCTCAATGCGGTAGCGATGCAATGCACTTCGCCTTCTGCCATTACACTACTGGTGGTAGGGATATCAACATGGATATTAAGGTTGTTGATGGTTACAGGAAATTTTGCAACAAGATGTATCAGGCTACTAAGTTTGCTTTGATGAGATTGGGAGATGGTTTCGTCCCCAGACCCGACTCCAGGAAGACTGGCAAAGAGTCCTTGGTTGAGCTGTGGATTTTACACAAGTTCAATAGGGCCGCTGAGAATTCCAATAAAGGATTGGAGGAGCGTAACTTCTTATTGGCTACAGATGAGATTTATCGGTATTGGCTATACGAGTTGTGCGACGTCTACATCGTGAGACACCTAAACCCATTCCTTCGGATTATGGACTAATGATTGTGGGTAATGAAGGAAAACTCGAAACCCCTTATTTTAGAGGGTACTGAAGAACAAAAGCGTTCGGCTCAAGATACCCTATACACATGCCTTGAGGGAGCACTGTTGTTGATCCACCCTTTCATGCCATTCGTTACGGAAGAGCTCTGGCAGCGCCTTCCGAGGCGTCCTAATGACGCTAATCCAACAATCGTCAAGGCTGCATACCCAAGATACACCGAGGAGTTGGATAATCCGGATGCCGAGAGGTCTTACGACCTCGCATTCTCTGTCGTCAAGGGTATCCGTTCAATGCAAGCTGAATACGGGATAAAAGACAAAGCAGAAGGTAGCCTTCCTCACTATCTCTGTTATACCCGAATCACTAACCATCCCTAGCATACATCCACGCTAAGGACGCCGAAACTTTCTCCACTACCTCGGAGCAAAAGCCAAGTATCTCTGCGCTCGTCAAGGGCCTTGAATCGCTCCAAATCCTGGGAGAAAACGACTCCCTCCCAGACGGTTGTGGCGCCTTTGTCATTTCGGAAACCTGTACTGTCTACCTCCTCGTTAAAGGCCGTGTAGACGTTGACGCGGAAATTGAGAAGACAAGGAAGAAGATTGCGAAGGCGGTTGAGAGCAGAAAGAGGCTAGAGAAGGCTCGAGCTGTCAAGGATTATATCAGCAAGGTGAGGGCTGAAGTTCAGGAGGCGGACAGAATCCGACTCGGCGAGATGGTAGCAGAGGAGAAGACTCTACAAGAGTTGGTGGCGAAATTCGAAGGACTACGGGCATGATATGGTGATGTGCCTCTGATGCTGTTGGGTGATTTTCGGTAGACTGTGAATAAAATGTTCATTGTGTTGGAATTCTTGGGGATAGAAGTTCTTGATTGGCTATAGCACTCTAAGGGGTGTTTGGTAACGTGACGTTTGAGTGGTAAACCTACCCAAACAGCAGTTTGGGTGGGTTGGGGCGTTTAGCTACACGCTGCTTCCAAACAATGTTTTCTAGAGTTTCAAAACTTCAGTTTTGTGGGGCAACTTTCAGTCCATAAACTCTACTTTTGACACCAGTTTTACTCAATTAAAGTTGCTTAATTAGGATTTAACCTCTTCCACTGATTAATAAATTTCCCCTTCTTTTACCTTAACCTTCGCAATTTTACGCCGGTGTTTGGCAACACATATCGTGGGGGTCGTCTATCGTGGACCATGGGGCGTTGTAAAATGTGTTGTAGGTTAATGTCTTACGTAGTCATTGTTACGGTTGTATCATGCCAAGCCTCCATTTTACAGGTCTGAAATTCGAGTCATTGTATATGAGAAGTATGATATGATATCATAGAGTAGAGGTATTGGCCCCAGCCATGATGGATCGGATAGCACTCCATCACTGAATCTCACTCTGACCCCTGCTACCAAGATTGATTGATTGTAGGCAAGATGAAGGCAGTGGGGGAGTACAGTGCTACTCTTGGGTATAAGGGGCATATGGAAGCCGAGGCAGTAGCATTTCTCGACTTATGGTGGTGGTGGGCCTTCATTTTCCGCTCCCGGTGACGGTGCAATAAACCCCCGGGACCTATTTGGGGTCGAGGTTTGCGTGGGGAGGGGAGTTATGGTGGGCGGGGTTCAAGAGGTGAGGTGGGAAAGTGTATGATACAAGTAATTGATTAACAGAAGAGGAGGGGCGGGAGGAAAGAAGTACCATACACAATTCCCAAACCCGAAATTGGAGTAGGTATGATATCTAGTACCGCAATCGCATATCGAAACGTCTCTGGCGAGTTCAGTACCATATATCCGTGCAAATTAGTGGCGACAGTGCTCTCCCTAACACTAACGATCCTCTCAACACCCTCCCCTCCCCCCTCCCCCAACCCCCCAAAAAACATTCCACCAGTGCAACACTCTAATCCAATTCCTTTGAAAAGCCCACGGCTTCGAATGCCCCTGTGTGCGAAGCAGCACAGGTGGCAGGATACCCAACCAGAGAGTTTGGAGGGTTAATTGATAGAGTACTCGCCCATCCCCACCGCCCGCCGACGAATAGTTGGCAGGGTATGATAGCCTATCTACGGCAACATACCCCTTCCCGTCACGATGCTGCCGTCGAAAATTTTGGTGCGTAGCCGAGAGGGAGGGAGGGGTGGGATTGGTGGAGGGGAAGGGGATGACGGAGAGCGGGCTGGGGGTATGTTAATTCTTCGCACAGGGCTGAGGCGCTCGAGGAGGTTTATGGCGGGTGCGGGGGGTGCAAGTTGCGGAGGGGTGGAGGTGTGGGGCTGTAGTGGAAAGGGGTGGTCTAATCGTGTCTAGCGGTCACGGGATGTCACTCGGGGGAAGGGGAGTTTTCTTGGTTGTTTGGTTCTGGATCGGATTGAGGCAGTATTCTGTTCTTTTACGTTAGTCGCGTTACGCATACCAAGAGTAAGTAATAGGCTTGACCAAGGGAAACTCTTCCTGGCAAGACTAGAAAACTAAACTGAGCGGGGGAAACGGCAGCAATTATAGAGTTCTTTATATCATGTCAAAGTCTAACCCCAACACTCTATCTACGCCAAAACCCAGTCCAGTCCAAGCCAAGCCAATCCAGCCCACCCAATTCCCCTCAATCCATCCAATTAAACCACCAACCAACCAACAATTACCCCGACCAACTAAACAAAACAAAACAGAAAGGAACAAAACGCAAGCTACTATGCAAAGCCCGTGTCCCTTCCATCTCTCTACGAGAGGAAGAAATCACGCAACACCTTGAGCCTTCAATCTCTCCTCAAATCCTCTACACACGTCTTCAAATCCACCCGTGACCTCGGCGCACACATTCGCCGCGTTTCTATTCCGACACTTGGCGTCCCAATCACCGTCCTCGATCCAGCGCCTGGAGCGCTCGACTTGCTCCAACTCCGATTTCCAGTCGGCGCAGGCCTCCCTCGCCACGCGCAGTTTCCGATTGGCGGCGATGGAGGACTGGCGCGCCATGTGTAGGGTGTCGGAGAGGAAGGAGAGCTGCGAGACGAGAGAGAATGTGAGGGCGTGGAGGCTCGCGAGCTCTGTGAGCGCGCCGAAAGCCGGGCGCGGTATTAGATCTATTAGTGGGAGAAGGAGGTCCAAGGTGTCGTCATCCGGCGGCACGCTGGAGTAGTTTATGCTGAGGGTGAGGGTGCGGAGGGTGCGGGCTTGGTGGATCATGTGGGTTGCGAGAGCGCTGTGGGCGGTTATTAAACTAGGGAGGTGAGCTAGTGATGAGAGTGAAGAAGGGGGGGATTACCGATTGCTTCCCGATTCAAGACTGCTCTGCGGCGGCAGCTTCTGTAAACCTTCCATCAGTCTGGATACGATCTCGTCGTCCTCCTCTTGCATCATCATCACTTTGTTCTGGGCAGCCAATTTCTCAATCTGTCCAATCTTGTCCTCAAGCGTAAATGAGATTCCCGCCATGAGGTCTTCCGGATCACCATAATCGCTCCTATCATAATCACTGGCAGTCCCTCCTCCCCCTCCTACCCCACCATTCCCCCCACCACCATTTAGTACCCCCCCCCCACCATCATCGCCTCCACCCCCATCCCGCCATTCAGGCCCGCCCTCCCCATACCCATTCCCCTCGCCGGCCTCTTCTGCGTCGTGGTCACGTTAGAATTCGTACATGGCCCCGGCAAGTTCGTCCGCTAGGGAACCCAACCCTCCACCACCACCACCTCCACCACCAACACCAGCATCTCCTCCACCACCCGCGCCAGTGAACTTCCCACTGTCGTCCCCTCGGGGGGTAACCAGCATACTGTCGTCATCGTACCCATTTATCGAAGTGTCCTCATCGGCGAATGCGGCGTCGATGTGCGACTCGTAGAGGGTGTGCGCCATAATCTGGGCGATGGGCTAAAGAAAGAAAGAAAAGGAAAAAGGGAGAGAGAAGGAAATCTACCGGTATCTCTTGTACGCCGTAGTGAATGGAAGGTGCAGCAGAAGGAAATATTTCTAGTGCGTCTAGTTGTGAGAGAGGGAGAGAGAGGGGTGTATGTGTGTGTGCATACTGTGGTGGTGGTGGAGGTGAAAGGATCAGAAGTTGTTTGTTTTTGTATTAATCTGTCGGTTGCTTGCCCCCCCTGAATAAGATTCGATTCAAGTTTGAGTTGAAGTGATAGGATGGCTGTATCAGCCAATTGCAGGGATGGTGAGAAGATGGATCAGAGCCAAGGAAAGAGAGCGAGAGAGAGAGTGTGTGTGTGTGTGTAGCCCAATACTTGTATGCAGAGTACGCGTTACTTGAGAGGTTATCGTTGGCAGTCGTGGGTGCTTATGTCCTAAAGTGCAAGCGGAGGAGGGGCTATACGATAAATGTTAGAGGAAGGGGAGCGCAGTACCCGTACTATACTACCGGTACATGTACAGCACACGGTAAGGGAGAAAGCGAGAGAGAGAGAAAGGAAAGGTTAGTGATCAAGGTGTATAGTGTATACTATATACAGTACTGTACAGCACAGCACAGTATGATACAGTAAGAACAGAGTGGAGTGGGCGAATAGGGGACAGCGGAGATGAAGGTCAACAAAATGAGACAGAAAGTTGAGGACTGCGTGTCACCTCTTTCCCTCAACTTCCCACTATGCTCGTACACTTTGGCAGAGTTAGAAAACCGTATCAATGATAATAGTTACCGTTATAATAGTTATTATTTACCGGTAATGTGTTCAGCCGGTACAGTACAGTAGCTATTCCCCTTCCATCATCATATACATCGTTCCGCAGTAAGATACTTGCGCAGCACCTGATTTACCCAACCATAAGTCAAAGTTACTTGTATTATAATAATATTATTAATACTATTACTATGATACCGGTATCACAATTCAATTCAGTGCATTGTTTCTCTCATCTTATCATAATTTACCATACACCCACAACCCTAACTTAATCTCCAGGAACTATCCCAACCATCATGACCACCACCACCACCACGTTCAATAGATTAAGCAACCCGATAACACAAATCCAGTACGGGCGGGGGCAATACAAGTTCCAGTGAATCTTGGATCATTAACCATCCCCCAAGCAATTCAAACCATCAATCAATTTAATCCACCCCACTCCCGTCCCTCGAAAACAAAAGAGGAAGGGAAAAAAAAAAGGCGAAAAGAGCCTCACAAAACCACTTAAGCAACAACAACACACCCCACCAAACCCCACCCAACACCCCCTCATAAAGGAATTAAAAAATATATATTTAAAAAAAAGGAAAAAAAGGAAAAAAAGGAAAAAAGAGAATGAGCTCCCTCCGCCCCTTCCACCCCCTCGATCTCCTCCGCCTCAACCTCGCAAACCTCGACGTCCTGACCGAAAACTACGATATAAGCTTCTACCTCAGCTACCTCGCGAAATGGCCGACGCTAATGTCAGTAATGGAGTCTTCCCAAGGAAGAATAATGGGCTACAGTACCTGCACCCCTCCTCCTCCCCCCCCGCGGCACCGCTATCCATCCAACAGCAGCACTGACAAACCTAGTAATGGGTAAAGCCGAGGGCACTGCCAAGGACTGGCACGGGCATGTAACCGCCGTAACCGTAGCACCCGACTACCGCCGCCTCGGCCTCGCAAAGACAATGATGGACGAACTCGAGCGCGTCACCACGAGCGTGTACAACGGCTACTTTGTCGACCTGTACGTGCGTGTTTCCAACGAGATCGCTATTAGGATGTATGAAGGGATGGGGTATTCGGTTTATCGCACCGTCGTGGAGTATTACTCTTCCAGCAGCGGCGGCGGCGGTGGTGGCGGTGGCGCTACGGTTGGCGGGGATGGGGATGAGGATGCTTATGATATGCGGAAACCTATGCGTAGGGATAAGCACCGGAAGAGTGTAAGGAAGAATGGGAGGGAGGTTAAGGTTTTGCCACATGAGGTTTGGTAATACTTTAGGATAAGGTGGGGGGGGGGTATGGGTTTATGATTTTATCTTTGGAGAATGGCAAAAAAAGGGTTTTTCTTCTTCTTTTCTTCTTTTTTAGAACTACGGCATCACAATAGACGCATAACCATCCATCCCATGATACCCCTCTTACATCCTATCATACTTAGTAAGTAGCGGGCATTCTCTACTCGACGTTTTTCAAAGTCTCCGGAGCGGGAAATGAATGTGATTAACTATGGGGCAATTGATTGCTCTGGAGCGCGGAAACTGCTCTACTTGGGCCACGGGCACGCAACCCACGTTCCGGAAACTTTAAAGGATGCCGAGTACACTATGAGTGATCAAGGCAGCGATCAAGAAAGAAAAAAGGCTTCGCGTATCCTACCCAGCCCACTGTACTTTGCATAAAACATACAGTAGCCCAGAGAGCCCGAGCCAAACCGCACAACTTGGTCAAACTCCAACCCAAACAGGACAAAAACAGAACAAACACAAACCTTCACACAGTCCACTTCACCCTCTCCCTCCTTCCGCGTCTAAACTGCTCATTGTTATTCCTCAGCGACCTCCACCCTCCACCACCTCCTCCAGACCCGCCAAGCCCTTCATTATCCCCACTCAGAAACCCTTCAATGATAGGCTGGGGGTCATAGCCTTCACTCCGCTCTTGGGAGGGTGGGTAGTACATCCCAGAGGGTCCTTTGGTTTTTTGTAAGCCAGAGTTGGCCGCACACTCCTGTAACGGCGGGGGCGGGAGGCGGTCCTGCTCAGGCTCTCCCACGCAGTCTTGATACTGATCATTCTCCGCCTCCTCCTCCTCGAAATCGACCACATACTTACCGCCAGAACCCAAGGGTGACTGCGGGGGAGGGAGCATGTTGTAGGAGTTTGTCCCTGTGCTATTCGCTTTGGGTGTCAGCCGGGGTACGTCAGACTTTGAAGAGGAAGTCCGGCCGTGGTAGCTGTGGTTGTCCAGTTCGTTTTGTATTTTCTTGGTACCGCGATTAGCTACACCTCCCTCGCCTAGAATCTTTTGATCTATGATCCATTGCCCGTCGTGGACAATATTTCTTTTTGGAACCTCCCGCACAATTTCCTTGCTGGTGTTGGGCTTTCGCCTTTCAGAAGTTGACCTTCCGGCAAGTTCTTCCGAGGGAACTCCTCCTCGAACGGTCGGTGACAGGTCTCTAAGGGGCGAGCCTGTTGGAGATCTTCTCCTATCGCTGCCCCCAATCTGCGCTGGGTCTAAAGCTTTATCAACATCTAATACCTTGTCAGACGCAGTACCTATCAAACCTTCCCGGCTGTTATTCCCGTCTTCAGTTTCCGAGCGCAGAGTCTCGTCCTTGTCCAATTCCTTAGCCTCATGTCCCGCCCCCGAGGTAGAGCTCCCGGCGCTTGAAGACCTCCAAGATTGTAAAAATGGCTCACGGACTGTCAAATACTTTGCGGTACAAGCAGTGTCATGTCCAAGTGCAGAGTTGGAGACAGCGTTATCAACGGAAAATCCCGACGTATCCCCTGCTTGCTCCGAGGCGCGACCAACTAGCTCTGACATCCCTTCTGTCGCAGTAGCAGAAACCGGGGGCATTTTCTGGGGAGGAGCCTTCTTCCTGAATGAACCCCTAATCGATCTAAAAGTTCTACCTACAGCCCCTAATATGGGACATTTGGAAACAGGATCAGAAACAGCATTCCCTGTTTCATGGGACTTCATATCTTCATCCGATTCTTTCTGCACTGCTGCTGTCTCGGAACCCAAGACAGATGGTGGCGCAAGAGAGTCGGCACCGGTAGGATCAAATCCTAATGGAGAAGACCAAAGGCGCTCTCTCTGCGCGAGCCCTTCTAAGCCAGCGAACAGTCTATCATCCAGTTGTTCGGGCCTTTCGGGAGGCCCTCCTCGGATGCTGATAACCTGGATAGGACGATTAATGGTCTCGCACTCGGGGAATTTGACGGAAGCCTTCCTCCGCATAGGTTTTCCCGCAACTGCAGACTGCCCATCAATCGAACCTGACTTCCCCCCTCCTCTCCCACGTTTAGAATTCTTCCTCCCTTTCCCCCCCTTCACGTTCCGCAACTCATCCCACTTCCGATAATTACTAGCCCTCAGATCCTCCGAGGTACTTCCATCCGTATCCCTAACCGACCCTGATGAGGAAATCGCACACGACAGGACATCACTAACCGGCAACGACGCAGATCTCAGGGGAGCCCAACCCCCTCCTTCACCTTTACTTCCAGACACAACCCCACCGCCACCCACCGCCACCACCTCCCCAACCCGAGAGTACCCCCCATTAACAGGCACAGGACTGGCAATGCTAATCCGATCATTACTCACCGGCGTGGTAATCCCCACGCGGGAGAATTTCAGCACTAGGGACTTCACCTTGTTGCTCGGAATCGCCTTCCAATCGGGATGATGATGAGGTGCGGAAGTTACGGGAATAGCCTCCTTGTGGAGTTTCCGGTTGAAGTAGGCTACCAGCGAGCGAACTTTCACGCTGCTGTCAGGTATGCGCAGCGGTAGGGGACGGGAGTCCGAGGTTAAGTTTTGGAGGGTAGGGGGGTTACCGGGTGTTGGGGGTATCATTGCCGGTCTGGCTTCATGTCAGCTATGGAAGGGAGGATGAGTAGAAGGGAGGATGAGTAGAAGGGAGGAAGGGGCATACCTGTTTGTCAACATAAACTCAATCCAACAGATACAGTACGAAACAATACAATGGGCCAAACCAACCCCTCCCAATACAACCCAAGATAAGATGATTCCAGTCTCCAAGTTATGTGCTCTTGCAGTGTACTTTCACACGATAGACGGACCCCCAACAAACCAGACGCAAGCAATACGAACAGCCAGCCACACCAGAACAGAGCAAAACCGAACTCCAACCCCCGAAAAAGGAACTCCAAGATAAACTCCCCCATCCACGCTGACGACACTCACTCGCTCGCTAGCCGAAAAGCACCTACGATGGATAATACAGGTACCGCAGAGGTAAATGAGGAAAGGTGAGAAATGTAGACTAAATAGAATGGACCGCCACACCCACCAGTTCGGATATAACGGTGAGTAGAAAGTCTTTTTTTAATCTTCCTTGCGCCAAAATAGGAGATAGCCATAGAACAGGGGGGGTTACACCAGAGTGTTGGCAAGGAGGGGGGGGGAGTTCAGGAAATGGGACTGGGGGATGAATGATGTTGGAATTTGTTGATTGAGTATGATAATAACATTTTTATGGTATGGTATTATATTATTCACAGTGTTGTGCCTTGAGTAGTTGTTGATATTTTTTTTCTTTTCTTCTCTTTGATTTGGGGAGGTTGATTGTTGAGTGGGAAGACAAGTTGTGTGGATTTATATAAGGTGGGAGAAGGTTACCCGGCTGTGAACGGTTACCCGGGCGAAACCCCGACGACGATATATTATAGGGTTTGTTAAATGTTGCTTTTGGGGGCCCTTTCACAGTTGCTATGGACTAGATTAGTTGTGCGCTTTTTCCATGGGGGATCTTCAGGAGAAAATAAGAGGTGTAGTGCTGGGGGGTGGTTCTGGGGAGGAGGGAAAGGAAATATGGTGGGTACTGTACTGTACTACGGTAGTACGAGTAAGCCGGTAGCTTACCGTATTATGATATCTCGGCTAACCCGGTAATAACCCCGAATCCCCAATAAAAGTGACTTGGAGACTCGGGTTAATTATCCCACGATTCCCATTGGGGGGATTTAATTGGGGGGGGGATGGATAATTGTTTCTCGGGCGATAACATGTATAATATATCGGGTTGCGAAACCGCGGGCAGGTTTCCTGAGTGAGTGATCTCCCATGACTCTACACGGACTGCGCTTTTCAAAACAACGATGAAAAAGCAGTTGCGTATGTGATACCTCAAAGCAATCCTCAATTCCTTGAAGAACCCCTAAAAAAAAACTCATCATTTATTCTAGCTCACCCTCCGATCTTCTACAGTCCATCCTCTAGGGTCCAAGTAAGTACGCCTCCCCCACTAACTTTACTGCCTACCCCGGGGATACAACCGTTTTTCCAAAGTTCCCCCCGGTATCATAGCATCACTGCTGCCTCTACTGTCACCACCCCTTGTCCTGCTCCCCGGCCCCAGCTCAAACTCTCCTCACGGGTGGTAGGTTGCTTCTGATCTTCGTTCCTGCGCCAGCACCGACATTGACACTCCTCTAGCAAATGGCTGCCTGATAGGCGTATGGGGGTGAGGGAGATGAAGACCTATTGCCATAGATCACGATACTTAGGTCGTAAGGCGTGAGGGGGGATTTCTACATCATTATCGTAGCGGAATATTGGGTGCGTTTTCCGGTGGTTTCCTACCTGGTGAAGGATCTCTGAGTACTTATCCTGAGTGTCCTGAGAATAGCGTGCTGATTGGTGTTCAATTGTGAGAGGTCTCGTGGCCTATGACGAACTGATTGTCCTGTTAAGTGATACTCCGATTGGAGGTCCGGGATGCCGAGCAACCACAGTGTACTGTGAAGAATGTGGCCAATAGCTGGTTGAGGATCTCAGCCACGGAGATTCCGAGTTAGCCTCGAGTGATGGTGTGTGGTTTTCCCGATAGAACGCCGATCCATATCTGGGAAGTTGGAAAGATCGCGTACCAATGCACTTGTGGGAAATATTCTCTCCTGAAGGCTTTTTAGATTCTATACTATTTCATTTTTGGAAAGAGCAACTAATTTTCTTACCCAATTACAGAGGTGATGCCTCCATACTGGTTCGGACTCACAAGTCAATCCCATCCCCGGCTCATAAGGCTTATCAATTCTAACCCTCAAACAACATGCTGCCAAACACCACGAACCCTATGGGGGTTGTGACATCCCGAAAATTTAGAGGTATCATAGGTACGATATCATAGTTCCTGCCATGATAAGAATGGCGCGTTATTGGTCACGTGCCTTGTCACGGCAAGTTCCAACGAAAAAATTATGCTTATGATAGCTGACTTCCGTAACACATCTACCGGTCACACCCGTGCTCGAGCACAATACCCGATGCACCACTCAATACGTTAACAACCCACCGTTTACACCACAATCCAGAGCGAGACGATATCTACGAGTAACTAGGCCGGAGTCAACACATTCTGGGACCGACTTGGC